TCATCCCGTCCCCTCCCCGACGCCCGGGGCGTCCGGCGTCCCAGGTAACGACCGGGACAGCCTCATCCCGTCCCCTCCCCCACGCCCGGGGCAGCCGGCGTCCCAGGTAATGACCGGGACAGCCTCATCCTGTCCCCTCCCCCACACCCGGGGCCGCCAGTGTCCCAACTAACAACTGGGACAGCCTCATCCCGTCCCCTCCCCCACGCCTGGGGCAGCCGGCGTCCCAGGTAACGACCGGGACAGCCTCATCCCGTCCCCTCCCCCACGCCCTGGGCAGCCAGCGTCCCAGCTAACAACCGGGACAGCCTCATCCCGTCCCCTCCCCCATGCCCGGGGCAGCCGGCGTCCCAGGTAACAACCGGGACAGCCTCGTCGCATCCCGTCCCCGACACCCAGGGCGGCTGGTGTCCCGTTAACGGCCAGGACAGCCTCGTCCCCTCCCGTCCCCGACGCCCGGGGCATCCGGCGTCCCAGGAAGCCAAAGAGCCAGTGCAAAGGATTCTGGGATGTTTCTCCCCATCCATTTCTGGGACTCCCCATCTCTCCTTGCCCTGTACTCTGGAGCTCCTGTAGGCCAAATCCAGAGCTGCCCTGGGCTGAAGCAGTCAGAGCCAGGCAGCGGCACCTCTTGGATCTAGGATCGGCTCCCTCTGGCTGGAGGGAGGGGGCCGTGTGTAGGGTTAGTCCGTCTTGGTGCGAGGGTTGGAGATCGGGGTATAGACTCTGGATACAGGGGTTGCTAGGAGTGGAGATTGGGGTGTACAGGATCTGGGAGCAGGACTCACCAGGGGTGGGGTCTGGGAACAGGGCTTCCCCCAGGGGTAGGGTCTGGGTATGGGGCTCTCCCTGAGGGTGGGGATCAGGGTCTGGGGGTGGGGCTCCCCTGGGGGTGGAGTCTGGGAGCAGGGCTCTCCCATGGGGGCAGGGTCTGGGGGTGGGGCTCTCCCCCAGAGGGCAGGGATCGGGGCCTGGGGGCAGGGCTTCCGCTAGGGGTGGGGTTCCCTGCTGACCCTGCCTTGTCTCCTGACAGCACTTGGAGCAGAACTGCAGCACGGCCCAGGGGGACGCACTCCTTTGTGCAGCCGCTCTCTCCTACATGGGCGCCTTCCCCCCGCCGCGGCGCCAGGAGCTGCTGGAGAAGTGGCAGGATATCTGTGCCAGGCGCCAAAGCTCCCTGGGGCCAGACGACGTGCGGAGGTTGCTGGAGAAGGAGCTGCCCTGTCCTGGCCCAGCCCCCCGGGGTCCAGCCCTGCTGCCTGTGCGCCAGGACTTCAGCTTGCTGGCCCTGCTGAGCTCAGAGAGGGAGCAGCGTGCCTGGGACAGGGACCAGAAGCCTCAGGACTTGGCCGGGCGCCAGGCCGCCCTGCTGCTCCGCACAGACACTCACGCCTGCTCCCGCTGCTGGCCCCTGCTGCTCGACCCTGACCAGCAGGCCCTCACCTGGCTCCTCATGGCACAGAAAGCGGATGAGGGTGAGTGAGGGGAATGAGAAGCCAGGCCTGGGACCAGCCCTCCCACCCCAGCTGCCTTGGGTGGGGAGTGAATGAGCCCTCTGCTATCAGGTGCCAGCGGCTCTAGAGCGAGAGGTTATTCCTTCTGCACAGCTCAGGTTCCTGGAGTCTCCTGAAAAGTTCCCCCAGCCCCACCGGGGCCTTAGGGAAGGAAGGGCCCTTCTGGGAGCCCCTTTTCAGGATTCATAGATTCTAGGACTGGAAGGGACCTCGAGAGGTCATCGAGTCCAGTCCCCTGCCCTCATGGCAGGACCAAATACTGTCTAGACCATCCCTGATAGACATTTATCTAACCTACTCTTAAATATCTCCAGAGATGGAGATTCCACAACCTCCCTGGGCAATTTATTCCAGTGTTTAACCACCCTGACAGTTAGGAACTTTTTCCTAATGTCCAACCTAGACCTCCCTTGCTTCTTCTTCTATCCTTAGAGGCCAAGGTGAACAAGTTTTCTTCCTCCCCCTCATTTCTTCCTTTTATATACCTGAAAACTGCTTT